AGGTCCTTGGAGAGGGACATCATGCTTGGTAGGGTAGAGGTACAGCGCAGGAGGGGAAGACCCTCTATGAGGTGGATTGATACAGTGACTTGGGTAATCGGAATGGATGTATCGCAATGGGTAATGAGGCAATGCGATTGGCACAGGATAGAGCAGGGTCTAGGGCTGCTGAATAGGGTCGCTATTAGTCGCAAATGACTTGACAGCACATAACAACAATAAGCTATATGACAAGAAAAGAAGAAATGGCAGCTGAGTGTTTATGCACCAGGGATGTCTATGGATCAAAGACTCCAAAATCACAGAATCCAGATCAGATGAACTGCTTATCAATTAAATATATTATATGATGATTCTGCCAAAAACTTTGGCTATTTCTTACTAATTAAGTAGAAGCCTATTCTGGAATGAATTTCTCAAATAATAATAGATACCTCGCTAGTTCTTGATAAAAAGAAAGAACTTAAAAATAAGGCACTTACACGCTGTGGTAACATTGTTACATGTTAGTCCAGACCTTGTGATCACACTATAAGGGCAGCTGCTATCATTCTTAATTACCATTATCATTATATATAGCCAACAGAGATCTAGTGGCTGGTAAAGTGTGAAAACCACGTTCTTACCTTTATGGAACTCAGAGCCTGATATGACAGAGAAAATTTAGCAACAACCCACAGTACACAAAATGTATACACTAGGTAATGATGGATTTAAGGCTTTATGAGTGCTTGTAGCTAACTAAGCAAGCTAAAAGGTTGGAAGTATGAGTCAACACAGAGGCAACCTGAAAGAAAGGCCTGGCAATCTACACACAGAATAGGCTTGAGTCAGAATCAACTTGATGGAAACTTTTTTTAGAAATTTCTGGGTGATGCAAATAGTTAGGCATGTGGCTACTAATGGAAAAGTTGGCAATTTGAATGTAGCCAGTGGTACTTTGTAAGAAAGGTCTGGCAAATGATTTCCAAAGTGCACTACCATTGAAAACCCTAAGATAATTCAATTCTACTATGAAACACATGGAAGTGCTATGAGTTGAAACTGGTTTTGATTGCTAATATGTATTACAAGAGGTATCTAGCCTAAACCCAGTGGTCTGAGTTATACTGACAATCCAATGTCATATAGAATGGCAATCTTGTCCTGTGCAATTTACAGCCTCTGAAAACCCACCGGAGAGTCAGCTGAGTTGATTTTGACTCAACAGTACATAACATAACAAGCCTAACCTATGAAGCTTTAGTGGGCAGAGAGGTATACAGAAAGACAAGGTTTGAGGAAATTAAGAACAAATAAGCCTCAGTCACATGAGTAATGAGTGTTCTATGCACAGTTAGATAATGAATTAGCATGTACCATGCTTGACAGGATACAATGAAAAGGTACATACCTTACAGCTAAAGCTCTCTGTGATGGTGTTAGTTCTTCATCCTTTCGAAACATCCCTAAGAAACAAAAAGAGGCACTTCCATCAATTACAATTTCTCAAGAATAATTTTTTCTAATTTATGTTTCAATAATTTTAAATGGCAACTTTGTTATATTGATTATCTTCTCATCTCAACATAGACTCAAATCATGCCAAGGGATCCAACATGTCTAGAGTCATATGAAATAACTAATACACATGTGGGAAGTCATTGATTTGATTTCTCCTTAAAGGATGTAAGTAAAACTACCGCTAAGGGCTCCCAAAATCTGTTACCATTAAGTTGAATTCCAACTCACAAAAAACCTATCATAAAAGGTTTAGAAAGGTGTAATCTTCATACAATTAGACTATCTCTCTTCTCTTTCGAGTGATTGTGGGTTTGAACCAACAAGCTTTTCATCAATAGTTGAGTGCTTAACTACTGCCACTATTACAGCTCCACTGCCAAATGCTAGCACTTCTTAAATTAAAAATGGATTATTCTTATTGTTATATGTTGTGATCTTTCAAAAATGGGTAATAAAATTTTTCTATTATTAAATAATTAAATGACTAAACATCAGTACTATGAACTAGAGGGCCAACACGAAGTAATGATTTCTTTACACCCTTATGACAGTCGTGAATAAAAAAGTATATCAACTTGCTAGGAAGCTCTACTGACCTACTCCATAGGGAGTCATTTAACTAACTCAAAGATAGTGCCTCTCAGGTAGTTCAAATCCACTTGTCACTCTAAGGAAGATGGGCAATCTCCTGCCATGTAACTTATGGCTTCAGAAACTCACTAATGAGTTAACCATTAGATCATACTGACTCAATGGCAGTTAGTTAAGGTATTAAGTTACTAGATCCATCTGCTTAAAAAACACCTAAATCCAATTTAGGATTAAGAATTTAGGACCAAAGAAGGATTAAATGATAAAGCAAATAATATGCTTAAAAAATAAAACAGGGACAGCAAATCTAATACATGTTGTACTTCTTTTTATAACACAAAGAACCAAAACACCAAGAAAAAAAAAAGTAAATCAGATAAGGACAAAAGGCATGAAAAGACAAATTAGAAAAGAGTAGTCATTGAACATTAAAAATATTAGTCATGAGTCACTTATTATTCATTAAGAAATGGTTATTAAAAGAATGAGATACTTCTATTTCACCCATTACAAAAGTTCAAAGGGTGCTTATGTAGCATGATTTCAATTATCAAAAACACACACACCTTTTACGTCTATGTACACAGAACAAAGATGAGATGAAAATTACTGAGAACGTCAAGGTCCCGGGGGCTATTCTAGGCATCAGGGAAATAAATGGCAGAGAAAGCAAAAAAATCCAGACAAATTCTGTGCTTTCATGGCACTTAAATTCCAGCAAGGAGATAGAGTTACTAAAAAAAAAAATTTAAAGGAACTGATACTATCTTTCTGTAAACCAATATATCAAGGGCCTAAGAGAAAAGTTAAAATTGTGATTCAAGATGTGACAGGGATATTAACCACAACATTACAGTGCATATTGGCAAGGGGAACCTATATATACATCAATTAAGGCATGGGAAAACAAATAACTGTACATCTATTTTTGAAAGTAACTTGCGTTAATCTTTTCTTCTATGTTTTTGTTTTTATTTTTGAGAATATACACAGTACAGGGTTTATCAATCTAGCAATTTCCAAATGTACATTTCAGTAATACTGAATTTTCTTTTTCCTACTTGTTCCTCCCATATTAACGCAAATTCATTGTCTCATACTTTCTATTTAATCTTTGGAGTTGCTACTGTCAATTTGATCCCATATAGTTAGACCTCAAAAGAGCATTAATGCTCAAGCAGACAGACATTCGTTACTAAGTAAACTAGATTATGATTTCTGTTTTAAGAAAACTTTGGATCATATTTTGGTTTAAGGTTCACACAGAGCAACAGTGTCAGGGCTTTATTCACCATCCATGACTCAAAAAGGACTGCATATTTTCCTTTTTGAACGGGCTTCTTGTACAGAAACTCAGAGTAAAATGTTCAGTGATGGTAGCCAGTTGTCATATTGTTCTCATCTTACAGCAAAGGAGGTAGTTGTTTATGGGCAATTCCATTTCCTCCTCCTATTTCTGATTCTACTTTCTCTGTTGCTTCAGGCAAATGGAGACCAACAATCTTACAGCAGGACGTGTCAGTGCCAGAACCATACATGACTATCTGATTTTAGGCGATCTTGCAGGTCTTCAGCCAAAGACAACGTGTAGTCTACCCACTGTCACTCCGTTAGGTGGAAATGATTTTGATTTTTCCTTCTCTAACAGGTTTTGTCTTTCATAGGTTTTGCTTTGCCTTAAATAACCTCTTATATCTTTTAAAATCCCAGCTGAAAATTAAGGAGGTAACAGAAGCACTAAACACCTCAATTGGTCAATTAAGTGGGATCACCCCTGCAAGCATTAATGCATACCACTAAACGCAGGAACCAAATCCTAAGTATACAAGCAACCTTAGCAGCTCAGATGGCAAGCATTAATAATGAGAAAATCTGCCTGGAAGGAGAATTAGGGAAAGACATGGAAAATTATTCTTTCTATTTTTTTGTTTTCCCACTTTTCTTCAATATGCATAAACTTAGGTTTTGTAAGAGAAGGAAAAGCCATTTAAAAAGAGAAATAATGATGAGAAAAAGTAAAACATTAGAAGTTAAGGTGAAAACAATAGATAGATAATTGTACTTTCCTTCCCCTAGATTACCACAGTTGTTCAAACTGTCATTAAAAAAACCCCCTCCCAAAAAAAAAACAAAACCAAAACCCAAAAAGAAACTCAAGTGCTATCTCTGGAAATGAGAGTAAGTTTTCATTTCTTCTTACTCTTTATCCTTCATTTCTCATCCTATTTACCAGGAAAATGGCATGTTAATGACCTCATTTTACTACCTACTCTCACTTATGGCCTCACCCAACAGATTTTTGTTAACTAAGTCTAAGATGCAGAAAAAAAGAACTATTCTTTTCTTTTCAGTTTTTCTGCCAAGTCCTTAATTGTGTTTGAAAGGAAATGAAGGCATTTCACAGTGGCCCAAATAATAAATAAATGACACATGATATAAACAAAAAAAATTACATATAGAAACCAAAATAAACCTATTTAAATGCAGTACAATGACAAAATATTTACTGTCCAGTAAGAAACATACCCATTTTTTAAAAAGTTTGTTTTATGTCATTTCACTTTTACAAAATATATATACATTTCCACTATGGAGGAAATAAATCCAAAGAAAGCAAAAAAACTAGTATTCTATGTTTGTCCAGCAATAAGTCATACAAGAGGCTGTAGGCACCCCAAACTGCAAGAGCAGAATCACCAATCTGAATCACCAATCTCCTTCTACAGGAACTACACAGAACATCAAACTGTTATAGCTCACCCCCTTCTGTTACAGCTGTGAACAATATATTTTTGTGCAATGTTAGGTTTTATGTATTTTGTATACTTTTTGGGGGGCTGTCTTTGGGTCAAAAGTTTCCCCCAAACCACTAAACAGTAATTGTTTCTTCACTTTATCACATTTTGGCTTGCAGAAAGTTTCACAGAAATGCTCTCCTAGAGAGGAAAATCTGCACTGGCTCAATGTGATGATTTTGTAGTCTGTACAACTCTGCTTGCTGAAACTGTAGAGGACCAGAAGCACCTGCTACAGAGTGTCAAGGACTGCAGCCTCCAATATGGATTAAGGCTCAATGTCAAGAAGACAAAGATTCTCACCACTGGACCAATTGGCAGCATCAGGATGGAAGGTGAAGAGATTAGGATTGTTCACAGCTTTAGTTTGCTTGGCTCCACAGTCAACACTCTTGGCACCAGCAGCCACGAAATTAAAAGATGTACTGCCATGGGAAAGTCTGCTGTTAGGGAACTCTCCAAAGTACTGAAGAGCAATGGTGACTCTCTGGAGACTAAGGTGCGTTTGATACAGGCCATGGTCTTCACAATCACTTGTTATGCGACAATGATCAAGGAGGATAGAAGGAGAATTGATGCCTTTGAGCTGTGGTGCTGGAGAAGAGTATTAAGGGTACCATGGACTGCTAGGAAAACAAACA